GGTGCGATATTGCGCATATATATATAGTGCGCATTGGACATTGCTTGAAAATAAAACATTTTTAACAAAAAAAAATATATTTATAAGAACTTTTAACTTAATTAAATATAATCAGGAATCAAAATAAATTCTTGAGACAACAAACATCTTCAATTTTTAGAAGAGTTTATGCAGAACATAATGCCTCTCAAAGTTGTTCCCTTTCCTTTCTTTTTTTTTTTTTTAGAACAACCATAGTTATTGCTCAACTGCTCCCGCATTGGCTCACCTCATAAATGTGTCTGATAATTATTAATATTAAAAATTTATTATGAACTTCTGCTATATTTATGTTAGATGCGCAGATACATAGAAATTCTGGTATATTTATGTAAATGCCCCCAAAAGATCAGCCCCTACAGAAATTTATCAATTGGAAACACATATCTAACACTGTACATAGCCATAAATGTTCAGTGATGTGAATAAATCTTATACATACACGTTAGACATAAGACATTCTTCATTATTAGCACCTGGTACCACCAAACATAATGCAGTTTTGTTCAACCATCCAGCCATACCAACACCACCACTTCTCTTCCACGGTCTTAGTAAATGCAACAAGAAGAGACATTAGGTAACATACTAAACAATATCAAATCATAATGAGATGAGCAACCAAAGCCACCCCATGTAACAATAACAAAGTTGTTTTTCATTGTACATAATACAACAGACCATTATTATTTTCCAAATGACTCGTCAACATATGAAAAACCACCACTCGGTGGCCCATGTACGAAAAGAGACATTAGGTTGCAACCAAACAGCCCCTAAGATTATTGTAACACTATCTTCTTACCAGACAAATGAACCACGTCATAGTTGAAAGAATGGTCAAAAAGACTGAAACACAACCCTGGTTACAAAAAATTCAAAATTCAAACAAATATAGATTTTTTTTAATAAGAAGGTTGAGCAGAACGTAGAAAAAAAAATATTAAACAAAGGAGTAACTGTGCTGGAAAGTCCAATTAATGGACCCAGACAGAGACTTAGTTACCAACTTCTGTAACCTTTAGTAACATACTCTTCCAAAAGTAAAAAAAAAAAAAACAATACAATTTTTTTCGTGAAAATGAAATCTTCAAATGAAACCACCAACCCCATTTTAACAGCCCCCCAGCCAAAAAAAAATTTACTTCCTGATTCAATTGCTCGTAGTAGAAAATTCTTCATCAACAGGAAAGAGTAGAAAGTATTATTTCTACTTTACTATCAGCCATTTTGATCCAGATGAAGCTATTCCAGCCAATCATCAATAACACTTGCGTGATCAAAACCACCAATCTCAACACCAAAAGCATCAGCTTCTCCAACCAAAGATTTCATGGATGACGGCTTCTCTGGGGTCGTCTCTTTCACTAGAGAATGAACCCAGGAAACATCAGGCTCTTCACCATTAGAAGGAAGCTCAAAAGAAGATGAACGCTTTAGCCTGCCCAGCTCATCACCATTCATGCCCCAATCAAGCGTGCCTGATGGGGAGCCCCACTTGGACAAGGATGAGCTCAGCAGAGAGCCGGCCATTGCCGGTGCACCCGCCACCAGATCGCGGGAGCTGAGGCTCCTCAGAGTTTGCTGCTGCTGCTGCTTCTCAAGCTGAGCAAAGGTAGCATGGTGGCGGGAGGAGCTCAATGGGGACACAGGTTCCATGCTTCTAGGAGACATCCTTCCAGGTGACAATAAACCAAGAGAAACCTGCAAAAGAGAGGAGTGCCCTGGGTGCTGTTGATCCAGAGTTTTTGGAGAGAACATCCCTGTATTGATAGGTGAAAGAAGATTCTGTTGCTGTTGCTGAAACTGATTAAAAATAGCAGTTTTATGTGATGGAGAAAAAAGAGCTCCCTGCTCGGAGTTATATCTTGGAGAGGACGAAATTTCTGCTGAAAAAAGATCATCAAGGTTAGAACCATTCAGGTTCTTAGATCGTGTTGTTCTGTTCACAGCAGAGGAGCCAAATCGAGAGATGTACAGATCATTCATCAACTGATGAGCTTCTAATTCTTGGTTATAGTAGTCGTCCAATGGTATGTCTCTTGCATTAAGAGATGATCTCAGCCTGCTTGACTGAAGATTGCTTCCAGGAAGGTGAAGTGCAGGAACATTAGGTTGAGGCCAATTCATTGAAGAATGAGAAATCCCATTGGCGGAAGGTGACAAAGGAGGTGTAAAAGAAGGCATAACAGCTGAAGCAGAAGATGGAGAGCTTGGTACAAGGCCCATGGCAGCCATCTCCATGGCAGTGGAGGCGGAAGTTCTAGGAGAAGGCACAGCTGAACCAGTAGACATGTAGAGGGGACGAAGCTCTTCATTAGTGTGAGCAAAGAAACAAACCCTTCTCGCACAGTTAGTTCCATCCTTACAAAGTCTGGTGCGATATTGCGCTGGGTGAAGCCAGCACTCGAACACCCCGTGTGCATACTCACACATGTCCCCCCTCCTGCATGCCCCTTTTCGAAAATCGGGACAAGGAACGCAGCTATAATGGAACTTCCTAGGGTCTCGCCTCCGGGCATTTTCTCCGGGATGAACAAATGGGCACTCAGTCCAGTCATGAGAGTAAGCCCTAGAGCAAGGTCGTACCTTGAATGAGAACATTCGGAACTCATCTGTACTATAAGCGACGTTTTTGATATCAGGAAGGGAAGGATCGACAGGATACTCTTTCTTCTCCGGTAGTATGGGAAGTTCCTCATATTTTACATCATTTGGAGATGAAGATGAATCTGAGGAAGGAGACCCCTGGTCCTCTGCTGATGAAGAAAGTGATGGAGAGTTGGAATTGGATGAGGATGAAGATACCACCCAAAGGTCTTGCCTGTGAATCTCACGGACCACTCCATCAGAACTTCCAAGAAGTTCTTCAAGTGTGACCTTCCCATTAGACTTCTTACAAGGGACAGTAATCACATCAGCTGGTCGATGACCCATGGCATCAACAATGTTAGGGTCAGCTCCAGCAGAAAGGAGAACTTTTACTGCCTCCACAGCATTCACCGAACCACCAGAAGCAGCGCAGTGAAGGGCAGTAGTCTTATCCGGGCCACAATATCGGTTAACATTCTCAGAGGAGAGGTTAAGAATTAATTCAAGCACTTCAAGGCTTCCATAAGTGGCTGCGACCATGAGTGGAGTTCTCTGCTCGAACACCTTCTTGCGCCCATACCAGTCCCCAACCTCATCAATGGCCAAAGGATCTCGATCAACAAATCGCTTGAAACCGTCCAAATCATTGTTGGCCGCGAGTTCAAGAACACTAGCAAAAGTGTCTTCGATCACCACACTAAGTTGATTCATCTCTTTCACTGCAGAGTTGCCAAAGAAGTATTAAGAAAAAGGACTACCACACAAGATTTCAACTTGGCTAGCGTACACATTAAACAGGTAAAGACTAGTTTTGGGTCTTTATATACATAACACCATATTGCTTTTACATATTTCACACCTCAAAAGTTAACATTACAAAATCCACAATTCCGTTAAAAGACTTCCTCTCTACTACCGCACCTCTTGGCTTCACGCCTCCGCTGCTTTGCAAAACAACGCAACTACAGCCACCCGCCGGCCAACACTTCCTCACAACAATCTCTCCAATTCCCACCGTCACCGCTGCTCCGACAAAACTAACCCCATGATCGGAAGCAGCCCCGTTGAAGATCGCCTGGGGACATGTTAAAGACATGTAGTTTTGCCGGCGTCTGGTTTGCTGTTGGAGCAACTCCAGCGTGAAACCGAGAGGTAGATATGGGGAGAGAACGAAGTACTAACGGAGGTGTGGATTTCTTATTATTAAACTTTGGGGGTGAGATATGTAAATAACAATGCTTCCAGTACTATGAATGTAAAAACCCCTTTAAATTCCAAAGTGAAGTAAACAAACTGGTTTACAATCGATCTGAGATCCAAAGTTCCATGAAAAAAAAAAGCAGCAATCTAACACTTGAAGAATTCATAATTTCTATATTCCTAAGCTAAAGTTACCAAGCAGTAAATAACTCTAACATAAAAACAAGTTAAATAAATGATCCAACTCAACACCGAAAGACATATTTTACAGAACATTCGCGCTACAAATTTATCAAAATCGGTCCCCAGAAAAACAAAAAAATAAACAATCCACCTTAACAAAAGCAAAAGCACGCAATCAAGCCAAAAGAAAACTAAAAGGCACACAAGCACATACCTGCTAAAAGTGTATCAAGCTGAAGATTCAGCTACCTGAATCGACACCCGAATCGACATAAGAGATCGCCACAAGTCTCCGGATAACAACCGATTTCCCCCTAATCTGACTAAAACACCTCGTCGGCAGCCCCTAGCTCATCTATGGTAAAACGACACAACGTACGCATAGCCTCGAGTTGCTGAAGCAGAACAGAGCAGAGTAGCAGAGGAAACACTCGAAAAGAAAGAAGATGAAGGGAGGAGAGAGAAGGGAAGCAGGCGGGCTGCTCCTCTGTGTGTCGGAATTGAGGCGAAATGAAACGCTCCTGAAATGAACAACAAATTTTGGGGACCCCGAAATTTAACCCCCTCGGCTCTCTGGGTTCTACCGCAAGCCCGCGAGATGAAACCCACTCGAAATTAATCCAAATTCACCCAACATGCGGGTGGGATTCACTGTGAATTCAAAAGGATGGTTACCGGCTTGGCCGGTCAAAAGGAGGGCGGCTTGCCGGTCAGTTGGGATTCGGATACCGGCTGGTGCAGGGGAACGAGGAAAGTCGTGCTAGTTTCGAGTTTAATTTGCTCGATTGGAATCCGATGTGGAGTCCGCGAATCCAGGGGTGGACGGACTCCAAATAGCAATTAAATTTTGTTCGGAGTTGGATGGAGTCCGCGGCGGTGAATCAATTACGGAGATGCGATGCAATATTTATAATTATTATTATTTTTTTGAAATTTTTATTGTGAAAAGTGAAAAATAGTCATCATTTTTTATCCTCAAATGTGATAATAATTTTTAATTATTTTTCATATAAATTATTTCCGTAAATTTTGAAAAAGTTTAAAATTATTTTGATATTTTTACATATTTTGAGACTAAAATAGTTCTAATTATTTTGATAATATAATTTTTATTCTGAAATTGTAAATAAATTTAAAATTTTATAAAAAATATATTTTTAAATCTTTAATAAATTTAATCGTGATTTGATGTGTACTACAAACCATACATAATCCATTGGTTGGAGTAGATATATATATATATATATAATTAGAAAAAATCAGCCTGTTTAGTTTGATTCCTCCATATATTTGAAGTTAAATGTCTTCTTTGAAATTTTAATTTATTATTTTATCCATTAAACTTTCTAGTATTTGGACTTTAAAATTTATAGTTTGAATTTTAGAGCTCCATTTTTTAGAAAAGGTGCTGAATTAGTCTTTTTTTTTCAATTTAATGCATATTTTAAAGATAATTATCTAACTTTTTAAGTTGTGATTTACATTTTTATTAGGTTTGATACATCTTTAATAATTTTTCATCATCTAACATGAATCTCAAGGCATGATAAGAATCTTAAGATGATTTTTGAACAAGAATATTCAAACATGGATAAAAAGTCATCGTGAACTCTGATGTTAGCAAACTTACAGCAAATTGACTGGCTCTACAAGAAGAACCCAATGTTACCAAAATTGGTCTAATCCAAACCAAATCAAGCCCGGATCAAGTCATTAAACCTTTTTTGAAAGTATTCTGGACACGTTTGGAAGGTCAAACAGATGTTGATTTTGACGACTTTATAGTAAAATCGAACGTCTTGACAAGAATAATTCAACGCACCCAATATCACTCTAGTTCGATATCATTAATAAATTCAAATGTTTATCAAATGACGTCTGATTAAGAGAAACATTCTAAATCGTCTAATCAAAGTGATTTATATTTATGTATTAATTGCACTCATAACTATATAATATAGCCCGACTCCTCTCAGGTGGGTGAGGGGTCGGCGGTGGTTTGTTGACCGAGATCGACGGAGATTGGTGGTAGTTGACAGCAATCGACGCCGACTATCTTCGACCAATCCCGATCAGACTCGGCCAGTCGTTATCGGTCTCCGTCAATCGACGTAGTAACTTGTGAAACTTATTAACAATTTCCTGCCTATAGGACAAGTGGTTGCAACTATAATCACATTTTTATAGTTAAACTTTTGAGTTAGATAAGACTCTGTGATTTTTCTTTTTTCAGATTTTTTCTATATAATAACTTCTTGTGTCATTATTAGCTGTTTTCTCTTTTTTGAATGTGTGTTGAATCTTCATACAACGTTAAGACTATAATCAACCACTCTAATGTCATGAATTTTCTAGCACGCATTAAAGTTGATTATTTTTTGATAGTAGATTTTTGTTTTCTTGCAGATGAATTTAAGAAAAATTTAATTTTTAATTTAATCAAAATATTTATAAAATGACAAAAACTAAAAGATTTTTTAATTTTAATTTTTTGTTGGTGACTTGTTACCCTAGAATGAGTCTCAATATGTAGAGCTCTGCACTAATTTATCAACATCAAGATTGATTGCTCACATGTTGCATTAGAAGCTAAAATGCTAAGTATTGCAGCTTCAAGATATTGAAATGAAAATAATCTCTAAAAGAAGGAGAAAATATTGTGTATGTTGTCAACCTACGGACGACAAATAGTTGGGTGACAACTCGACATAAACCTCATATACATACGAGATGGATGCCGACCATGTCGAGTTATCACCCAGTCATTTGTCGTCTGCATACACACTATTCTCCACAAAAGAAGAGGACAATGAAAAAGAATGTGAAGAGATATGACAAGATTAGTTCTAGATTCAAACAATGTGATATGTCTCTTGATTTGATCTACATCATCTCTTTTTTAAGAAATTGAACATAAATGATATTATGAGATTTTCCAATGCGGGAAGAAATGTCCAATCATCGGGTCACCATATCATCTGCATAAATTATATATATTTCGCTTTGAATATGAGATTGTTACAATCATTTATATTTAAATGTAAGAGCTTAGAGAATCATTAAAATTGAATACACCTTCAACAAATTTCCATCATATGGCATGACTCTCCATGTATGCATGAATCTTAAGGCAATATTTTGAGTGAAATTTGTTCAAACTTAAATTAAAATTCATCCGGATGTCTGATTTCAACAAACTTACAGTCAAACTGACTGTTTCGACAATACGGACACAATAATATCAAAATTGGTCAAATCCGAACAAAATTGAGCCCTGATAAAGCCATTAAACCACTTCAGAAAGCTTTTCGGGCATATTTAGGAGGTTGAACAAATGTCGAATCTGATGAGCTTATAATCTAATAGAGCATCTCGACTAGGCAAATCCAATAAGCCCCAGGATTGCTGAATTTTCAACATCATTAAGACACTCAAAAGTACAACAAACGCTGCCTGAACAGGGGAAGCTCTTTGAGTCGTTCAATCAAAGTAATTCATATTTCTTCATTAATTGAAACAGAGATTTTATAAATAGAGATATATCCCCTTCTTAAGAGGGGAGATGCAGTTTGATGCTTGAAGAGAGCTTAAATCTTGGAGGAGTTGAAGTTGTCTCCTACTCCAGCTATTGTTGAGCACCATTGACCATTGTGAATCATCACTCGTTGGTCACTGCCCACTCATTGCAATAAAGCATTGCGCGAAGCAACTTCTGATGTTGCAGAGTCACAAAACAACTTGCCCAACATACCCCAAAGGTGGTGCAATAACACATCTCTAAGATGGGGTAACAACATACCTTGCATACACTCATGCACCTGACTCTGACACCCACAACCTACGGGTGTAATTACAACTCACTACTACCGCTTGCATGACAAAGTACGTTCTACATGGTCCGCAACTCGTGTAGCTTCTGATGCTGGCCTCTACGACCCATAGACATCATCGTGACTTATCACCATGACTTATATGACCCATATGGTACATAGCTCTTGCAACTCTCTACTACGACCTCTATAGCCAACTGACGCTCTTAAAACAATCATTTATGATCATTGACCAATTACTATCATGGTTATCAATTAGAACTTTTACAATAAATTGGGTCAACAACAACTTTCTACAACACTCATGATGGATTACTATCATTACGACAATTGTCAATAATCCTTATAGCATGTTTGTTGTTGCGAGATCTAGATATATACCAATTGATGTTGTATATACATAAATCAAACAGGAGAAAAATATTTGACGAAGCAAAAAATAGAATGAGAAAAATCACACCAGAAAAGAACACACAAATTTAAGTGGTTTGACAAATTGCCTACATCCACGGAGTTGCAGAGAATTTTACTATTTGAGGAATTTACACCAGTCAATCACCTCGACTTACAAGAAGAATCTCTCACTTCGTTGCTCTCTCTTCTTCTCTCTCTACACTGAGATACACCAAAGTGAGATACACACAGAAGAAGATAAACTTACAAGAGAAATAAAAATAATTTATTTTCTGTCACACGCCACCAAGAAGAAGCTAGGGAGAACAATCTTCTTCTTTCTTTTTCCTTCTCATGTAAGAAACCACTTCTTGCACTTCTCCTCCTCTATCCCGAGGAAGCTCGAAGAACTCTTCCTCTATTTTGAGGAAACACGAAGAACTCTTCCTCTATCCCGAGGAAGACCGAAGAAGAATACCAAAAAATGTGACTTAGAAACCCAAGGAGAGCCATCTGAAGCCTTTATCACGAACATGTAGGGAAGTGTCGCGACAGACGCGACTCTTCGCGAAACAATGAACTGTTTGCGGGAACAGTTCGTGACCTTTCGCGATCGAGAGGGAGTTGGCGTAGTTTCACGATCGGGAGCGAGATGCTGTAGCGGGAGTGGGTTCGGGTCGCGACGGGAGCGGGAGCGGAAAAATAGACCGTGCTGCAAACTCCAACAATGTTGTCTCTAAAAATTACAACTAAGTTTTGGATATACAAATTTAGAATTTCATTCCTAATTCAGGAGAATAATAGACATATGTACTCACCATTCATAGTGAATTATTTAAATTATAGCATACCTCATGACTTTTTCACCTCAAGAGTTTTTCACGTAAAAAGTCGTTGTGTCTTCTCCTGCTTACTTCTCTTGAATTATTTGAGTATGTGTTGGTCATTCATGTGATGCTAAAATGATAAATAATAATTATTCTACTGTCACGAATCTCTAGCACACATAAGAAATATTTGTTATATTGTTTTGATTTTTTTTTCAGTTATTTTTGAGGTTAAGATTGCTTATATGTGTAAAAGATTGAAAGAAATGGTGAATACTTTTTCTTTTTTATAGTTGTATGATAGAATTTGGTATTTGTTTAAATGATGGATAAGGGACCACTTCATTGCCCTTCTATTATTCACCTTCTCTGAGGGCTCATTTTAAGCATCATTGTCGTTGAAGTAATTTATCAAGTGAAAGAAATGAAAAATTGAAATGAAAATTTGTTAGAAGATTGAATAACCTAAGAGATTTTACAAGGTTTTACA